CTTCGCCCCCCTCCTTCCCGCTCACCCTCCCCCTCCGCCCGCGGGGAGGCGGGTGTCGGCGTCGTAGCTGAAGACGGAGAATCTCCCCCATTCCCTCCCTCCTCCATCCCCTCCCCTCCTCCCTCATCCCTCATCCTCCCCCGGGGGGAGGGAGGGTGTCGCGTCGTACCTGGGGCGGAGAATCTCTCCCCGCTCCCTCCCTCCCCTCCCCCTCCTCCCGGGGGGAGGGGGTTCGCGTTCGTAACCTGGGGCGGAGAATCTCTCCCCCTCCGCTCCTCCTCCTCCTCCTCCTCCTCCCGGGGGAGAAGGTGTCGGCGTCAGTACCTGGGGCGGAGTAATCTCTCGGCGGTGTTTGTGTCCGCGGCGGTCGGTCGCGTGTAACCGACTGGCGACGGCAGCGCTCGCACGGGTCTGTCTGGCAGCGCCTCCTGGCCATGCCACGCAGCTATCCAAGCTGCACACGCACGGCTGCCCAGCATACGCAAGCGTCACGCTGACGCGATCAGGTCACCTTGACGACGGCAATCAACACAGAAATGAACGACCGTGATTGCGATCGGATTCTGTGTTCACCCTCGGCATCGCAACCACGTTCGGTTCTCGCGCAAATTGCCAATTGATCGTTCGTATATACGTCGTTTATTATTAATCTATCACATTATTAATGCATTATTATAGGTTTTTTTAATTTTATTTTTTTTAATTTATTAATATTTGTTTTATGTAAATTTTTTTTACTATTTTTTGATATTATGATTATTGATTTGTTCTTATTTATTATCACCATCATCATAATTCATTTTGCCTAATCAATTATTTAATCATCGTTATTTATTGTTTTATAGGGGGCAATTCAACGCGCCTGCAACTCAACCGGTGTTTGAGGTCGTACCGTGTAATCGCCTCAGACGAGCTGCACGGAAGGCCGCGTGTTCGCGTGGGGGGCGCGAGCGGTGACGCAACAGGCCGCAGCAGCCCTGCGAGCAGGCACGCGGCGGTGCACGCGCGGCGGCCCCCTGCGTTGCCGTGCGACGAATGCGCGCAGCTAACGGATGCCATCGACTTCGAGAGCTCGCACCATCAGCGCTGTCGAGAAGCATCCAAGACCGCGAACTCGTTATTCATGCCGTTAATTATAAGTTAATTATGCGCTAATATATCGCTCGCAAATGCTCGTTGCCAGTGAGTCGCAAGCACGATTCATTACAAGAAATCGCCGAAGTTAGCAGGGAGCACCCCCCCCCATACCACGTCGGCACTACAAGGCGCCACCTCACCGTCGGGCACATAACAGGCCCACCTAGCGTCGTTTAATACGAGTTTGGTGTCATGCTTACCTTCTTGAGATTCGGCGGCGCGAGATGTGCCGACTCTCTTCTCGACAGCTGCGCGCTTCAGGCACTTCCTGCTGCTTCCTTACTCAGCTGGGGCTTCTCCTCCTTAATTCTTCTTCTTCTTCTCCGCTCCTGTAGCAAGGGACGCGTTAACGTGAGGGTGGGCCAATCGTCCAGCTCCCACCACCGCACCCATGCCAACAACAGGGCGCAGCACATGTACACACAGCACGCACGACACGGCCAGCGCACAACACAGCACGCACACACGTACGCACGTTCCTCGCCAACCAAGCACATCACGGCTTTAAGCCCGAAGCTTAAAACGGCCTGGCTACAACTATGTACCTAAGTTAGCAGAGTTACTGGCGTGCCTGTAGAAATGTCGTACTCTGCTCTAGTTGTAAGTTACATTAAATTTTCCTCGGTTTAACTAACCGTGGCATCACAAGATTCCTCGATTCCCTCGCTGGTTTATTGCCACACGCCAACACCATCAAACCGCCAGGTAAAAGCTAACAAGAAGAGAGGACTGACAGAACGCCTGCTGTCCAGCCACCACATGCATCCATCACACTGCTGATCACTCAGACACCTCCGCTTCCACGGCCTGATTGCAGACGTGGAAGGTGTTCGCTCACCCTTCGTAGCTCTAAGTCATGCCAAGACTAGCTCCTTGTAGCTATACACCTTGCTCTCTCCGCTTGATGTTGCCCTTTCTGGTCTCATCCTTGATGCTACAAAGCACGAAGATTGTCCATAACGTTTCACTGTAGTCAATCAGCACGCAGCAGCAAACAACCCCTAGCTGTGTTGTGACCCTCCCCCCACCATGCACTCGCGGCAGCATAGGCACTAACGCAGCTTTGATGTAACGTTGACTTTTTTAGTGCAAATATGCTAACTCATCCCTAAGACCCAACGCTCCATTAACAGCTCTGGCTAATTAAAGTGCCAAGGCAGAGCAAGATTTATACGCGAGAAATGCCTTGCCAACGATAAACACTTCTACTCGTCTCACCTTTCACTTTCATGCACTTCGTTTCTGCGCAAAAACAAGTGAACGCAAGCGGCAGTCCCATACGCTCTCGATGACGGACTTGTCCGTAGTACGTCGCCCTCTGGTGTCATGTAGACGGCGTAGTCGGCGAGCAGATATCTGCTTGCGCGCCGACGCGTCAAGGCAACAGCCGACTCACGTTGATCGACGAGCTTCGGCAATGGCGCTCGGCGGCGACGACCGTGCAGAGCCGGGCGAGCTCGCGATCACTGTTACGGCCCAGTCGATCCTGAACCCCGACACGACCGACGTGGACGCGTTCAAACGCTCGTGACGGCAGCACGTCGACCTTGCACTCACGATTCCACACGTAACTGTCATTTAGAAACGGGATCGTGCGGCAAGGAATGCGTTTGTAGAGTCTGATTGATTTTTTATGCGTTATTATTCGTGTGATTCCGAATAGTTGTTCACGTACAAACATAGGTGTTCAGGTATGCCACCAGGGGTCAGGTCATATAAATGGCAGGTTATTAAAACACAATTGGGTGTCAAAATAACAGCCATTAAAGGGGCACACGTACCACAAGCAAGGGGGTCATGTAGCACAACAAGGAGTCTATCCTAACGACAAACAAGGGGGTCATGTAACACCACAGGAAGTTAAACTAAGGGTCACGTAAGCATAACAATGAGCTAAGCAGCAGGATCATCCACAAACGCGGTACATAAACGAGTCACAGACCAATCGACCAGACATTCACAGCCGGCGGGTACACTACGTAAAGCAATATTACAAGCATGACCCGATCCAGCGCGAGCGCGCTGAACGGTCGATATGACGTCGCATTACGGCAATGACTAAGAGAGCGTCGCGGAGATGGCGCGGGGGAGAGCGTACCTCGTCGAGCGTGGGTTCTGCGTCGCAGCATCACGAAGATTGGCGTCAGCGGGGCGCGAGCACAAATCTGCACCGCCGGTCCACGTGGTTCACGTCCACAGCACGTCCGTCCCACAGGTCTGGATTGCTCCATGACTAGCACGGCAGCGAAAAAAACACATAGAAATAATTTGCACAAGACACACTTTGACGGCGCCAAAATTATGCATCGATAGATCACTTCACCATGCCACATCTTGAAGTTCAGGAAATGCAGCTGTCAGCATGAGAGAGAAACTCTGTCTCTAGAAGACGAGAGAGAGAGAGCTGTATTAAAGGTTCTCCATGAGAATTCAGAGGCACGTCGGCACTCGGGCCCACATTCATCGCGCGACGATTGGCCTAACTGGACTTAACATGAATTATTAATTTAACCCTCGTGTTTACGAGTAAACATAGACGACAGTAGCACCAGTACGTATTAGCTGTCGGGCCGCCCGTCGCGTTACGCACTAACCACGTTAAAAAAAACGCGCGAAACCCCGACGTAACCGACGAAGGGTGGTGGTGGCGCGTCGGAGCAGTGTTTCATGCGGCGATGAGGTGGACGTCGCGGGCGGTGAGGTCGGGCACGGCGGCGAACGCGGGTTGCCCTCGCGAAGGATGCGTCCCGCGCGCCTGCTCTGGCGACGTCGCGGTCGTCAGGGTCGGCAGCGTCTGCCTTCACGAGGTCGTAAGCCGATCTACGCACGAGCAGAGAGCAAGCGAGTGAGTGAGAGATGATATGATGCTACTGGTGAGGTGGGGCGCGGGATGGTGCTGCTGCTGCTGGTCTTGCTGCTGCGCTCTGCTGCTACCTGCTGCTGCTGCACTGATGTTGTTGTCTTGTTTCTTGTTGCTGCTGCTGCTGGGGGTAGTGTTAGTGATGGTGGTAGTGCTGGTGATATTACTACTACACTAATAATAATAATAACAAATAATACATAAAGCAAAAGAACCTACACAGTTTATACAAACTGCAATTCGTTACCGCAAACAATCAAATTCGCGACAGCAACGTGTTCGCGTGAAAATACCGGACAACAACAAAAACATGCGATGGTGAGAACGGCATATACAGACCTTCTGCGGTCGGCCAGCATGTCCCTTGAACTCCCGCGCAGAAGGACAGGGCGAGGCTGGCGCCCGCCTAGCGACGCGAGCATCAGCTGCGCACGCCTTCGCGCGTACAGACGACGCGCAGTTGCGCAGCGTACGACCGCGTGCATCGCGTAGAACGACTGCGCCGGCTAGAAACGGCTTCGCGCTGGAATCGGACGAAAAATGTGAATAAAAGTCTTCGGGTGGAAAAAAAACGGACTTGGAAAGCATCATCCGAGTGAGATACACGACTTCCTTACATGATTGTTGTTAGCCGGAGAAGCAGACGAAAAGAGCAGCCTAGAGCGGCGGGAAATCTCATCAGTACCGACGGCGTCAAGAAAGCCGACGCTGATT